AAAAATAACCATACCCAGAAGGAACCCATCTAAGAAAATAAGAAATCCCTAAACAAACAAAGACCAGCCACCAAAAATCTTGGCAGAAACAAATCATTTCAGAAAATCTGCAGTAGATTTTGGAATTAACAAAATGGAATAAGAAATATAAAAAGGAGTTAAAATCATAATAATTCATACAATAGATAAAAGAGATTTGATTCCATATATAGTACCCAGTCATGCAGATAAAATGAAAGATAAGTGAGAAAAAAATAAGGAAAGCCCCAATTAGCTCTCGATAAATTCCTCTACAGGGGAAATCTAGTAGAAATTGAAAGAAAGATTTCCGATATATTCCTCGATATATTACTCTGAAACCCAAGGATTACAGATAGTTTCTCAAATGTAAGATTACAGAGGATAAAGGATAGTAGACGATGAAGAAGAACAAATTTCTGAACTACTGCAAAAATGAAACACAAAACTGCTAAATAACCTAACCCTATTCAAAACGACCTCAGACATAACATAAAACGACAACATATAATTAATCTCACTTGGTAGCCATATCATCATCCAGGTCCTACATGCCTTATTTATTTACCACATATCACCCAGCTTGGCGAGAATCTCAGATGAAATTGGGGAAGCAGAGGTTGGACTCAACTCAACTGGATCTCTTCCAGAATCAAAATAACACGACTGGACTGGAGGAGAGAAGCACAAGGAAGGTTTTACTAGCACGTGCTGTTCGAGGCCGCACGTGACTTACTTGGACATGTCAGGTATACACACAAACGGAATGTTGCTGCTCATCCTGGCCGTCCGCTAGTGCCCCTACCATGGACTGGAAGGAATGATGAAGAAACCTGGAAATTTAAGTTGACGATTTCTTACTCTAGATCATGGTCACTTGTTCCCTTCATTCAACTACCAAGAATCAGTGAAACAACAGAAATTGTTTCTTTCCATCTAGATTGGAAATGATAGAAGAGGAATTGGAAAACAAATAAAATAAAAAAAAATAAAATCAACATTCTTAAAATTAGAAATTGAATACTTAATCAATCAACAGCTTACCCCTCAATTATGACCAGGGAGAATATTTCAAGAAAGGTTGAAGTAGGTTCTTATGATCCCACTCCACTGATTCCCACCATTCTTTTGCATCTCTATCCACGTAGATTTCTCTAAGACAAGGAGGAGGAGATGGTTGGCCATTATCAAGCAGGGGAAGCTGCACAGGGATCCTCTTTAACTCCCGACATTTCAATATTCCAATTTGTTCAATAGAATCACAAACCATAACTCCTTTGGCACTGCAGATGCTCTTCAATTGGGGTAAATCGTCCAACCACAATATCCTTAACTTGGGAAAAGTGAATTTATCCGATGATGCATCTGAATCTGATGATGCTATTATCTCCTCCATATCCCAGCAGTGACGAACACAAATCTTCTCTAAGTTTTGGAAGGTCTGGAGCAGCTCAAGTGGAAGCAACTTCCTCATTGAACAAAGCTCAATCGAAAGCCTTTTAAGATTGGAAAAGACGTGCAGTGGTGTTGCTACTCCTTCCACTCTCACAAGAACACTCAATTCAAACAATCTGCAAAGATGCAGCTCTTCAAGCTTATCCAGTACTAGACAGGAGGATGAGTTCAAGTCAACCACGCACTCCATATCTTCACATTCGTCAATATCACAGGATCTCAACTCGGTTGCCTTTTCTAACAAAACTGCTTTATTTAAGCCGCTTCTCATGTTTCCACACTGCACTATCTTCAGCCTCTGAAGGTTATCTGGAAGCACTATACGTTCGTCTCCTAAGTTCCAATGATGAATTTTAACCACAGGTTTCCTTTGGTGAATGTCTTGGTCAAGTTCAGAGCCGAATGGTCCTACTGCAATCCCGTAGTCAGTAAGAATTCGAAAATCTTGAGAATTGACAAAATGATTGTAGCCCTGTATGTCATCGAATTCACATTCAAAGGTCTCTAACTTCTTCAATCCCGCAACCTCTTCTCCTTTTATCTCCAATCCTAAATAAACTGACAAGTATTGGAGCTTGGAAAGGTTTGATAACATTCCCACTGGACTCTCTCCCAGATTCCCACAACAACTTAAATCAAGATATTCGAGACTAATCAATTTCTCCATGCCTTGAGGGACCACCACAGCATCACACCACAGCAAATCCAACTTCTTTAATGCTGTAAGCTTTGCTAAAGAAGGCAAATACCTTAAACTGTAACACTCGCTTAACCTCATGGAAGAGAGCTTCTCCAAGTTTGAGATGGAATTAGGTAAAGTTTCAATACCAGTTTGAGAAAGATCAAGAACCTTCAGTTCAGGCATACCTTCAAAGAAGGATTTTGGGATCTCGGACAAATTATCATTATTTGACAATATCAAAGTTGAAAGAGTTGGACACTTTGGGCACAGCCCAAGGGGAATTTTTGATATTTTATTCTCCATCAGAGACACCTTCTTAAGATCATTTCCCCACCCATGCTCTTCTGGCACCTCTGTCAACTTCATTCTAGCTTTTACCATATAACCAAATTCAGGACCAATGCTTTTGATAGCCATGTCTCTCATTACATCATGCATCTTGAAAACATCATCACCCCAATTAACAGTTTTCTCTAACAAGCACTTCTTTACTAGCATATTTAAAAAGGCATGACCCCTATCATAAGCTGCTTTTCTACTAGGCAACACATCAATTAGTCCTTCATCAATCCACCCTTCTACCAACCCTTCTGTCTGAAATGGATAATCTTCAGGAAACAAGGAGCAATAAAGAAAACAGCTTTGGATTTCAAAATTATTCAAACGATCATAACTAAACCTTAACCTCTTAA